TCTCTCTCTCTCTCTCTCTCTCTCTCTCTCTCTCTCTCTCTCTCTCTCTCTCTCGTACGCGAGTGTGTGCCTATCTGTACAAATTACCTCAACTACACAGTCAGCTTCTTCTCTTGGGAGAGAGGGAGAGGTACATGATGAGAAAGGGAGAAGCACTCTTCTCATCATGTACATCTCCTTCCCTCCAGACAAAAATGATATCTTGCCCTTCACAATGTCCCTACGACGGTTTGAACCTCACGGGGCATGATGAGAAAAAAACTTCAAAAAGGGAGAAACGCTCTTCTCGTCGAGTAGTTCTCCGTTCGTCAACAAAGAAATGATGACATTCCCTTTGCAATGTCGCAACAAACTTTGCCCCTCCTCTTCGCTTTGTACATACGAGAGCATCTACAGTCTGCCTTCTTGACTTGCACCCGGACTCTCAACCTTCCAGCTCACTATTGACGTCAGGGCCAACACATGTTTTATTTCCTTCGTTGACTCGTATGTAATCAATACTAATCATTCACCAACAATCCGGGTCCTCAAGTCTCGGGCTTCTCTTCTTGACTTTGCATTCGCGGATGTGCGGTCTTCCATATTATTAATGAGAGCAAACTGCGAGTATATCTATTGGTTCGCTCTGATGTTATTTGCATTTCTTGAAGCAATCCCATAGCTTCGCTTGCTTTAGTTTCCCTCCTTCATCACTTACCTTGGCAGCTTTCTGCTTATTACTTCTGGTCGTGCTCGCCGCCCCTGCTTTACCACTGGCCCGACCGCGGCCGCGTTTCCGCTGTTGTGACGGGTGGCTGCTGCAATTCTTTCTGTTTTCCATCATCACTGTCAGAGCTGACTCTGCTTCTCTCCGTGTTGCGCCACTAACGCTGTGCTGTGGAGTCCCCTCTCGACTTTGTGAGCCGGCAAACGAAACATTCTCACTAAGTTCCACAATGTACCCTTGAGCTGTCTGCTGTACTCGACTTGTGTCAGCATGGACGGCGTCCCGGCATTGGGAAGTCTTTGGGTCCATGCACAAAGTGGGCCGTTTGGGACCGACGCTTCGCATATTCTCCGTTAGGCTTTGAAGGGGTGCTCTGAGTGTTTCCTTATCAGGGGACGGCACCTGGCCATCATAAATAGCAGCAGTTTGGGGGCCTTTGGGTGGAGCGGGCGGAGCAGAAGGGCACCCTCTTACGGGTCTGTCCTCGTGTCCCCTCTTTGTCGCAATCCGGGCGGACTCCCATCCCTCCTCGTTGGCAAACCCCATGGACACGTCCGGAAAACCAACCGATCCCTCTCGACTCGGGCCTTCTTGCTCAGCTACACTGTGTCCTTCTTGCCCCTCTGAACCAACCGGCCATGTTACCTCTGGTTCAGTGCCTGGTAATCCGCACCCCGTGTGATCCTGCCGGTACCAGTTGCAGGCCCCCAGTTCCTCATAAGGCATCCCAATCCCAAACTCCTCTGGATCAGGAACCCGTTGGCATGGCCCACCGTAACTATCTTGCTGACTCTTCCCTTCCTCTGTTTCTGATCTGGTCTGCCAGGCATGCCGTCCTCCTATGTTACAGTCTTGCTCTCGTTCTGCGTCGGGTGTTAACAAACGGTCTCGTGCTCGTAGAGCCGACCCATTACCTCCTGACGGTATTTGCTCTGGGGTAAATATCCTGTGCAGTGGGTCTTTTACCTGCGGCTCAGGGCCCTGATAAGGTGGGTCATGGAGCTCTGACACGTGTTCGAGGCCAGAATTTCCCCCTTCCTCTTTTCCTGATCCCACTTGCTGTTGCTGCGTTTGGCGGAGGCTAAGTTCCCGGTGGGACTGTTGTCCCCCCATGTCCGCTGCCGGACTTCGTTGAGGCTGTTGCTCGACATCTGGTTGGCATAGCTTGTTACTGTCTGGCTCTCGTACACAGCATGCCTCGGTCAACCGGCTATCTTCCTTCGATTTACACTGCTCTAGATGCCGGAAAGACACCTGCGCATCATCCAGGCACACATCTCTTTGATTCGCGATGCTCACAGAGCGCCGCTCACCTGACCAAGCGTCCTCTTGAGCAGTGTGCCACGCGGTTACCCGTTCCCCGCCCTGACGTAACCCCTCTTCGTGACCATGCTGAGGCTCTGCTGAGCTGCATGTCATATTCGCCGTCACAGGCCTCGTTGAAACCAGCTCCGCGTCAGGTTGAGCCTGTTGGTGGCGCCGGGTAGCTTGCACCAATCCTTCCGCCTGAGCCTCGTCACCTTGGTTTGCAACCGTTTCCCTTGCCTGAGCTCGCTGCCAGAAACCAATCAAACTATGGGAGGGGAACATCCCCGTCCTATTCCAAGCAGGCTGCTGAGGGCGTTTGCTTCTCGCTGAGGTGTGGGTAACCGAGTCCGTGTTGCTATTTAGAATGCTCCAGGCAAATGCAGGATCTATGCCCCCAGCTGGAATGGGAAAAGCTGAACCGGATCCATTATGTGCAAGTCTCCCTTGCCCATTTCGGTGGAACTGAGGGGAACAGCTAACACCACCATGCCCGTACCTTGAACTCTTCCCTGAACCTGCCCTGCGGCTGTTCCCAGTCCGTTGGCCAACTTGATTTCCTCCTCTTCCGATGGTCTGGAATTCTTGCGCATATGCCTCCATAGCCGCCATTCTTGTTCTATCTTCAGCACTGCAAATTGACAAAAAAGAGAGGGAAAAAAAGACAAGCCACGGACGAACATTGTTAGCCGAACCAAACATGATGAAACTGAGGCTTCCAGTATAAACAGCAGCTTCTCTGTGAAGAAAAAAAAAACAGAGGCAAAGAAGGAGGGGGAACTGCCAGTTACTTACCCCACATGCATATGCTTGGAAATTCCTTGCCTCCCCTTGCCTCTCCTTGGCCCCTCTTGGCCCTCTACCTCACCCCTGGTCTCTCCTAGGCCCTCTACCTCACCCCCCTGGCCTCTCAGGAAGGGACTTCAAACTGAGAGGAGGTTCCCATCTTCAGGTGAATGCTTGACCCCCTTTAAACCACCAGTATCCAAGGGGGCCTTAGCCCCCCCTCTGGGGATGCTCTGACACAAATGCATATGGACCCGCGCAGCGCCCCGATTCAGCCACCACATTAACGGCTTAAGAACGTGGAGGTACTGGTGTTTAAGAGAGAACTACTTCTGTTTACCACTGACGTCGGAGAGTACCAGACCCTCACACACCAGCATGAACTTTTTTGAATTTGTTTTTGCTTTTCAGTTCGTAAATAGAGGTATTCCCTAACATGAATTTGTCTTTCCGTTTTGGTTCGTAAATGGAGGTATTCCCTAACATTCTCAAAAACCACAGTATTTGAATTTTGAACCCATGAGTCACTATGTACAATTCAGCCAAAGGCAGGCGGCTTCTCGGGTACAGTTCAGCCAAAGGCAGGCGATATCCCGGGCAGCAGGTATGGATGCATTCCCCTGGTTGGTTCTACCTTTTTTTAATTTGGACCGTATGTCGATTTATGTGTGCCATCCTTGTGCAGGGGCCATGTTAATCTTCTCTGTATCGTTCCAATTTTAGCGGATGTCCCGAGGGACCCCTGGTTGGTTCTAGTCAGAGTCTGCTAGGGGAGAGAAATGGTCCATTCACACATCCGTTCAAATTGGAACAACGATACAGAGAAGACGAGCACAGAACGTGCAAGAGGATGACACACAGAAATCAAGAAACGGTTAGAAATAGAAAGGTAACAAAGAAAATCGCTTCTTTAACACAGAGGACATAACGATACCAAGCAATCTAATCGAGAAAGTGCAACTTTGCACTGTTTCTACTGAGAGAAAAGTGGTGAAAGAACTGTGTTGTTTGCATTAAGACTGCAGGTTGCAATTGCAAGTCTGTTAGGCTTCCCGGGGGCATGGGCCCCATTGGCAGATAATTTAGGCAAAGTACAATGGCACAAACCTGGTCTAAATGCAGAACAGAACCGCTCGTGCCGCAATGCAGACCAGGCAAAGTCCATGCCCATTCAAAACACAGATGCACAAACCTGATCCAAATGCAGACCAGAGCAGATCCTGGGCCAAACACAGACCACACTCTGCTCCAAGTGTAGAACAGTCAAAATGCCCATGTCCACTTGAAATGCAGATCAGACCAGGTCCATGCACGTGCAGACTAGACAAGGTCCGTGTCCATTCCAAACGCAGCCCTGGTCATGATTGCAGGTCGGTTTGGTTACCTTGCTTGAAAGGGACATCTGCAGGTCCCTCGGTGGATGGCTCAGTGAGCACCCTCTGGATGTGCCAAACAGTCGGTTGTCGGTGGTTCGGAGTCCCATCTGCACTCTTAAGGGGCGTGCTTAGCAGGCCCCTTGCAGGTAACGAGTGCAACATTTCGGCCGTGAGTTTTGGGACCTTGTACTCGAGTTACGAGGGACTCTCTGCACATGCTTTTGGCAGTTTCCTGTTCGCGTGAGAGGGGCAAGTCTTGCGGTGCTGTTTGGGCTTGACTCATCTCTCTTGGGAGGGCTTCCATGACAGCTCGCTCATCGCTGGGTCCAGTCGCACCCAATCACCAAAAGCCAATCCGTCCCATGTGTGCTATGCTCGTCATTTTTTTTGTCAAAAGTTCATCTGCCGTGATGTTGAATTCACTTGCAAACAACCGACAAAAACATGAAGCCAAATTGGGAAGCTGAACAGCCTGGAATTCCTGTCTATGGTCTCCCCAAAGAGGCAAAAAGGGAAAAGAAGCCAGTCTGAAATTGACTGCGGCAGAAGTTGGGAGGCGCTCAGGGTGGCGGGGGATCGCACCGCAGGGCTGCTAGCAGCAGTCCTCCTTCCCAGAGCCTAGCGTTGGCATGGTGAAACGGTGGCAGCAGTGTGTTTGGGTGGGGGTTGAAGGGGTGACACTGGCTTCGAGGGAGAGGGCTACGGGCTACTCTCTTGGCCATGGCCGGTTGCAGCGGGCATGTGTCCGGAATCCCTTCTGTCTGAGATAGGTGCCGCGCATGGCATAGGTGGTGGACAGAAGAAGGCCGCGATCTGAGCACCTGTCAGGCACACTTATATCAGTACTGGTTGACTGGTTGCAGATTCGTTCGCAAAACCAAATGTGTCAGGTGATGCACGAAGGGTGGAGGCAACCGACCGATG